AAAAGACACCCATTACAGGTTGTCAGGCAGAAAGTGTACACAACTGGGGGTGGGGGATTTAACATGAATCATAAGTGAGTTCATGATATTCATAATTCCGTCCATATCACAATGAATAATTGCTGCAGGTCAAATTAGCTTATGCACTTAATAAAACAGATGCTCATTTTTTATGTTAAAAATAATATTATAGAATAACTACGTTTTATTTGTTCATTCATGTTTAGTAATGCAATATAATTCATTTGAATTCTTCTAATATTTCCACGTTTTGTAAACTGTTAGGAATAAGAAGGTATTCACTCAAACAGGAAATGTGTCTTGAAAATGTTCTTGGTATTCCACGGGAAAAAATCCCAGGCAAAAGTAAGTGTACATATGAAAATTGGACGTGACCAAAACAATTACAAACGTTATCTGATACAGTTTTCAGCTAAAAACAGTCGCCGAAACGCTGCAACCGCAAGGTCCAAAACACAACTATGATACCCGTATCACATACAGTAAAGTACGGTTATAACGAACTCAAAGGGACCACTAATCTTAGTTCGTTATAACCGTAGTTCGTTAACAGCATAACGACAGCATAACGACAGCAAATTGTCGGGACAAAAAAGTAGGTTCGTTTTATCCGTCAGTTCGATATAAGCGTGTTCGTTATAAACGTAGTTAACTGTACATCCCCATCGTATAACCGTGTCTTGGTTGTTTCATTTTTAGCCACCATCAAACATGGGTGTATACTTTCTTTTGCCCGACAGTATAGTAAGAAATAGTCTGTGTGTTGATTGAAATATTTACATTCTTGATTGGATGTGTAAGGCTGTGACGGAAGGCTTTTATAATGAATGTTTTACAAAATATGGTAAAGTAAACAAAAAAAGTGATCCTTTCTTCGTTGAAATTGATGCCTTCTTTTCCTATTCTTTTGTAATCATTTTTCGTTTATGAACATAATTCCATATCTTGAAACCTACATTTGGTCCGGAATAACACAAACATACTCTGTGCTGGGGCTCAGCGATGACAAGTTGCCATTGTTCACGCCCCTGTCTTTGATAACGTGTACGATTAATACTATAAAACAATATGAGAGTGAAGTAACGGTAGTTTCAACAGACCAAGGAGACCAAACTTGGCACCACTTCGGGCTTTGACCTTGTCCTTTTCTTGTAAACTAACTTTAAAGCAAGAGAGCTGAACAGTAACCAGTTATAAACAATAAAACACGTCACTTGGAAATATGCTGAATAAGATTATTTTTGCAATGTTCATTCCTCTAAATAAGAAAGATGACTCTACCCTTAAAGATCCGGGGTAGAATAGGTCTTCAGCAACCCAGGCTTGCCGTAAAATGTGACTATGCTTGTCGTAAGAGGCGTCTAACGGGATCGGGTGGTCAGACTAGCTGACTTGTTGACGCACATCCTCGTATCCTGTGTGGATCGATGCGCATGATGTCAATCACTTGATTGTCTGGCCCAGCCTCGATTATTTACAGACCGCCGTCACATAGCTTGAATAGTGGTGAGTGCGGCGTTAAACAACAAACACACAAACAAACAAAAAGAGGACTTATGGTATACTTTATCGAAATTATAAGCAACAGTTGAGTGAAAAAGCACTCTACTTCATCTTGCTTATTTTTCTTTATACAATATTATTCCAATAATGTATTACAGCGTCTTCTATTTATTTAATTTTAATTTTTATCATAAGTTTAGATGCGCATGATGTGGGAGTGCGTCTTCTATTTATTACGTATGAAAATATTGTCACGACTTAACTCCCTGTTTCTGTTATTGCTGTTCTTTAGCCTACTTCGCTTCACAATGTTTTTTCCCCTGTTCAATAAGATATATCACGCTATGTTATTTTTTCACATCCATCCGTACTCGTCATTGCAATTAGCAAATATTTATATTTCACAAATCTCTCGTCCATATTCTTTTCAAGGACGCGTTTCATAACATGATCGTCTTTCCTATGCTGGAATGTGGTAAGATCTGCCGTTATTATTAAGCTATTGAATGTACACTCGCGAAATCAAATAACACACTTTTATTACCAATTTGTGAACTATTCTGCTTTAATATGTTTATTCCTTCAATATTTAACCATAGTAAAGTTTGACAAAGAGATATCCCACTCGGGGTGACAAAAGAAATCTCCCAGTCCGTGATGGTATGTATAGATCGAATCAAGATAGCCAGATTAATGACCACGTGACCCCTACTTAGCAGCCTGTGCGTGACACACCATACATGGTAAGAGTGGTTTTAGCTTATGGTAATGACAAAAATATTTCAAATATTCATACGCACTTGACAGGTATAGCGAGGTCGCACACCGGGTATTAGGAGACTATTAGGCTCTCATCTCGCGGCACATTGGTGAAGGCGAATTTTGTCGCCGGAGGGCTGGCCTTCGGGATGTCACGTGACTCCTTGAATTAGTCTAGACTGTTTCGCGTTTACAGGAAATAGATATATTTAATGATACTGATATTAAATGCAAAATTATAATATAGTTCAATGAAAACGGTGGGTGATTGGAAGGGTTTTTTTAAGCTCGGGGTGTGATTCGACGGCATTTTCGTGTGTACATACGTAGTGAATGTTGGTTATGTTCTGTTTTAACGTTGGTAGATATTGGGTCAAGTTTGCAGGACGTTTACCGTATTCTCTTTAATAACAAAATGAGATTAAAACCCAATAGGGTAGAAGTTCAAGCCGGATATGAGTGACTCATTTTGAAAATGTGATACCTTTTCGCGAACAACGGGTGTCATCACTGATTTACAGTTATCCATTCAATGGCGTTTGTTGCGTCTTATGGTCGAAACTGGTTATTCTCTGGCGTTAATCTCTGGCGTTGACGTTGACGATATATATCTATCATAAATTAGATTCACAATTTATTGCACCTATACCTTGCACGCTCTTGAGTTTTTACCAAAAGTAGTACGATGCTCAAGTGAAATGAGCGTTTCATGGTATAAATTAATGTCAAGGTTCAAAACACGATTAACATTTACAACGTCACGAAACGTTGCATTAAAGAAGTTTCGGTCACGCGAATCAGACAATAGTTTCGTATTGACACTTTTTTATCAGACATTTTATGAGACATTAATTTCAGATGGATAGTTTTTTTGCCAAATCATTTGTTAAACTGACATTGGCCTCGCTTTTTTCTTGTGCATGTTCCTCAGTCATAAAAGCATTCGTATGACGTAATGAATGCGGGTTCAACGCTGCGACGCTGGGTAGATTTGACTGTCATGTGAACTGAGGTGGCTTTGACAATCAATTACCAGATGATACCCCGGCCCCCTTCACAGGTCTCCCCCGCCCCCTGAATTAGGGTTGAGCCATAGGAGTCTGTCTACAAATATTTGTCTCCCTTGTTAACGTGAAGATCACAAAGGAATACGGCAAACGAAAACAAGCAGCGCCGTGATGAATATACTGCCACCCGGGGTAGTTTACAAAACAAGTGTCGTTGAGTGCTCAACGATCACTTAGGGGTGGTGGAATCCGCCCGGTCCAAGCGATCCGGTTCTCGGGTTTGTATTTCCCGGATTATATTACACGTTCCCCCCGAAGAGCCTGACGGGTTGCGGGTCGCGTCAATTATTAGAGTGTTGAGAAAATATTGAATGAGAAATCTTATATATATTTAAACTCTCGAATCAATGTTTTTCCATCGGTTGATGGGCCTATGAATTTTCAGGGAAATTAGGCACTGCGATGACAAATTGGATTAAGGTGACGCTGGCATTATAGAATGGGGAAGCTAACAATGGCATAATTAAATTTAAATCTTTTGACACTAATCTTGCAAATGATAGCTCCCCGTCAATTTCCTGGGTCTAAACATGAATAGGACATGTCTGGGAGACAAAGATAAGATTTCAGAAGAACATGGACGTCATTCTGGAAGAGCCTAGAGAAGCCAACACCGAGGCATTGTATATGTCAGCTCAACGTATCAACACTCACAGACGCAAAGGTGTATCCTTACTCCACTAATCTCCATACTTTACCCAACATTATCTATCCACCTCGTCCGTACGGGAGATGTGTGGGGCCATAAAAGTTATTTTATGTGATGTTCAAAGCCTACCTACATATGCACATCGTCGGATTATTTTAAAATTACACCAGGCATGTTTTGAATATCCGTGATTTTTAATACGCAACACACGAAAATGTAATTACTTTTTGTGTCAGTGCTTCGAAAATGTTTAGTATGTTTTATAGACTGTTTCTGAAAGTACTTTCGTTTCTACCCGTGAAGATCCGGGTCTTCAGCAACAATGCTTGTGGGAAGAGTTAACCAAAAGGATCGGATGGTTGCTAGTATGTCAACGTACCCTGACCGCGTGGATTATTGCCCACAATATCAAACACTGGATCGTCTGGTACAGCTGAAGATTCCGGGATAGAATAGAGCTTGCCGTAAAAGGCGACTATGCTTGTCGTAAGAGGCGACTAACGGGGTCGGGTGTTCAGGCTCGCTGACTTGGTTGATAGATGTCATCGTATCCCAATTGCGTGGATCTATGCTTATGATGCCCATCACTGGATTGTCTGGTCCAGACTCGATTATTTACAGACCGCCGTCATACAGCTGGAATATTGCTGAATGCGGCGTAACAACCAACAAACAAACACAACTTTCGTTTCCTTCTCTTTATATGTAGGTATATGCATCATCTGGTTGACAGACAAGAAGCATGATATTTCTCAATGTGTCCAATTAAATAGATCAGTCAAACACGTTTGATCATTCAACGGACAGAATTATTTTGGTTTGGTGTTTAGATAGATTTATTGTTCACAGTTTAAATTATATACGTGGAGCTGCGTGCAAGCAGTTTCCTGAACTGATATCACCCATAGACGTGTATCGAACGATCGATATATGAATCTCTACACTACCCAAAAGAAGTTACAGAACACCCGAGTTTTGCATCTGGCTATAGTCAATCTGCCATGGCTGTGGGTACTGCAACACAACGTCTTCCAGTAGTGGTGTTCTTTAACTTGTTTTGAGTAGTATATAAACCTCAACTACACTGCGGTTATGAACCAAAACATGTACTGCATGTTGTTCACGCATAGTTATGTTTAAACATGATATTTTCAGATATGTTTCTGTGATTCTGAATTTCTTTCTTGTTAATAATAGGCTGTCAGGTATATTGTATCCTGCATCGACGATTCTATGCCGTGTTATCATCAGCTACTAAACCCTCTGACAGATCCCTATTACCAACATCCCCAGTGCCAACATCCCCAGACCTAACATCCTCACTACCAACATCCCCACTACCAACATCCTCACTACCAACATCCTCACTACCAATATCCCCACTACCAACATCCTCACTACTAACATCCTCACTATCAACATCCCCACTACCAACATCCCCACTACCAACATCCCCACTTCTAACATCCCCACTACCAACATCCTCACTACTAACATCCCCACTACTCACATCCCCACTACCAAAATCCTCACTACCAACATCCCCACTACCAACATCCCCACTACTAACATCCCCATTACCAACATCCTCACTACCAACATCCCCACTACTAACATCCTCACTACTAACATCCCCACTACCAACATCCTCACTACAAGCACCCCCATTACCAACATCCTCACTACCAACATCCCTACTACCAAAATCCTCACTACCAACATCCCCACTACCAACATCCCCACTACCAACATCCCTATTACCAACATCCTCACTACCAACATCCCCACTGCCAAAATCCTCACTACCAACATCCTCACTACTAACATCCCCATTATCAACATCCCCACTACCAACATCCCCACTACCAACATCCTCACTACAAACATCCTCACTACTAACATCCCCACTATCAACATCCCCACTACCAACATCCCCACTACCAAAATCCTCACTACCAACATCCCCACTACCAACATCCCCACTACTAACATCCCCATTACCAACATCCTCACTACCAACATCCCCACTACTAACATCCTCACTACTAACATCCCCACTACCAACATCCTCACTACAAGCACCCCCATTACCAACATCCTCACTACCAACATCCCTACTACCAAAATCCTCACTACCAACATCCCCACTACCAACATCCCCACTACCAACATCCCTATTACCAACATCCTCACTACCAACATCCCCACTGCCAAAATCCTCACTACCAACATCCTCACTACTAACATCCCCATTATCAACATCCCCACTACCAACATCCCCACTACCAACATCCTCACTACAAACATCCTCACTACTAACATCCCCACTATCAACATCCCCACTACCAACATCCTCACTACCAACATCCTCACTACCAATATCCCCACTACCAACATCCTCACTATCGACATCCCCACTACCAACATCCCCACTACCAACATCCCCACTACCAACATCCTCACTACTAACATCCCCACTACTAACATCCTCACTACTAACACCCCCACTACCAACATCCCCATTACCAACATCCTCACTACCAACATCCCCACTACCAACGTCCTCACTACCAACATCCCAACTACCAACATCCCCTGTCCAAACATCCCCAGTACCAACATCCACAGACCTAACATCCTCACTACCAGCATCCCCTTTCCCAACATCCCCACTACCAACATCCCCTGTCCCAACATCCCCAGTACCAACATCCCTAGACCTAACATCCTCACTACCAGCATCCCCAGTGCCAACATCCCCAGTACAAACATACCCACTACAAACATCCCCAGTACCAACATCACCACTACAAACATCCCCAGTACCAACATCCCCAGTACCAACATCCTCACTATCAACATCCCCTGTCCCAACATCCCCACTACCAACATCCACTGTCCCAACATCCCCAGTACCAACATCCCCAGTACCAACATCCCTAGTACCAACATCCCTAGTACCAGCATCACCTGTCCCAACATCCCCAGTACCAACATCCTTACAATAAACATCCTCACTACCAACATCCCCACTACCGACCCCCCCCCCCCCCCCCCCCCCCCCCACCACCACCACCAAGATCCCACTACCGATATCCCCAGTACCATCATCCCTAGTACCAGCATCACCTGTCCCAACATCCCCAGTACCAACATCCTTACTATCAACATCCTCACTACCAACTACCAACATCCCCACTACAGACACCCCCCCCCCCCCCCCCACCCCCCCCTACCAAGATCCCACTACCAATATCCCCAGTACCATCATCCCTAGTACCAACATCCCTAGCACCAACATCCCCTGTCCCAACATCCTTACGACCAACATCCTCACTACCAACAACCCCACTACCAACATCCTCACTACCAACATCCTCACTACCAACATCCCCACTACCAACATCCTCACTACCAGCATCCCTACTACCAACATCCTCACTACCAACATCCCCACTACCAACATCCTCACTACCAACATCCTCACTACCAACATCCTCACTACCAGCATCCCCACTACCAACATCCCTAGTACCACATCCCCAGACCTAACATCCCCACTACCAGCATCCCCTGTCCGAACATCCCCAGTACCAACATCCTCACTACCAACATCCCCACTACCAACATCCTCACTACCGACATCCCCGATACCGTCATCCCCACTACTCACATCCCCACTACCAACATCCCCTGTCCCAACATCCCCAGTACCAACATCCCCACTACTCACATCCCCACAACCAACATCCTCACTACCAACATCCCCACTACCAACATCCTCACTACCGACATCCCCACTACCGACATCCCCACTACCAACATCCCCTGTCCCAACATCCCCAGTACCAACATCCCGCATACTCACATCCCCACAACCAACATCCTCACTACTCACATCCCCACTACCAACATCCTCACTACCGACATCCCCACTACCGACATCCCCACTACCAACATCCCCTGTCCCAACATCCCCAGTACCAACATCCCGCATACTCACATCCCCAGTACCAACATCCCCACTACTCACATCCCCACAACCAACATCCTCACTACCAACATCCCCACTACCAACATCCCCACTACCAACATCCTCACTACCAACATCCCCACTACCAACATCTCACTACCAACATCCCCACTACCAACATCCTCACTACCAACATCCCCTGTCCGAACATCCCCACTACCAACATCCTCACTACCAACATCCTCACTACAACATCCTCACTACCAACATCCCCACTACCAACAACCCCACTACCAACATCCCAAGTACCAACATCCCCACTACTCACATCCCCACTACCAAAATCCTCACTACCAACATCCCCACTACCAACATCCTCACTACCAACATCCTCACTACCAACATCCTCACTACCAGCATCCCCACTACCAACATCCTCACTACCAACTTTCCCACTACCAACATCCTCATTACCAACATCCCCACTACCAACATCCTCACTACCAACATCTCCACTACCAACATCCTCACTACCAACAACCCCACTACCAACATCCTCACTAAAAACATCCCACTACCAACATCCTCACTACCAGCATCCCCATCACTAACATCCCCACTACCAACATCCTCACTACCGACATCTTCACTACGAACATCCACACTACCAACATCCCCACTACCAACATCCCTGTCCCAACATCCTCACTACCAACATCCTCACTACTCACATCCCCACCACCAACATCCTCACTACCAACATCCTCACTACCAACATCCTCACTACCAACATCCTCACTACCAACAACCCCACTACCAACATCCTCACTACAAACATCCCCACTACCAACATCCTCACTACCAGCATCCCCAGCACTAACATCCCCACTACTCACATCCCCACTACCGACATCCCCACTACCAACATCCTCACTACGAACACCCCCACTACCAACATCCCCACTACCAACATCCCCGCTATCAACATCCCCAGTACGAACATACCCATTGTCAACATCCCTAGTACCAACATCCCACTACTAACATCCCCTGTACCAACATCCCCAGTGCCAACATCCCTAATACCAACATTCCCACTACCGACATCCCTTGTACCTACATTCTCACTACAAACAACCCCAAAACCAACATCCTCACTACGAACCCCCCCACTACCAACATCCCCACTACCAACATCCCCACTACCAACATCTCCAGTACAATCATCCCTGTACCAACATCCCTAGTACTGATATCCCTCTACCCAAATACAACTTGACGACAAATCCATGGTAATTGGGTACTTCAAAAGGAGCGACGACAATTAACTTGGCCAACAACACTCAACATTTGTACTCATGAGGTGTATACTTTCTTGCCGCAACATTGGCGAGACTCACTACATAATCCATCTTCTCATCAACACTTTCCCGTGTCTACTCCCCCTCGTGTCAATGTCTCCTTCCTCCACCTGATAGAGCTTAGCATTAACTGCCCCAGGACGAGTCAGCGCTATCCATGTGCAGAAGCTATGTAAATTACCTCCCCTGGCAGTGTCCATTTATCTGTCTAGCTGTCTCTTGTAATATTCATTTGACCATCTAGTATCGTTGTAAAGAGGCACATATTCAGCAAACAAACACACGATACATTCTGACACTTTTCTCGCACTAATCTGATGACTGCCATTTAAATCATTAAACCATCTACTCGAGACCTCCCTGACTCGGCCTAATAAAACCAACAGTTACAACATTTCCGCCTATTCGTGCCGGTCTACGAAGAACGGTTCTCGTTAGCAGTCGATGTTGATCAGGATGGGATGCGCTGGCAATAATAGCAGGCATAACCAACAGGTGATCGTTTGTACGTCCATCCTTATTGCCCTCTGACCTTACCGCTGTCCGGCCAAACAAACAAAGATGACCACTGGAGTCCATTTCAAGATGAGTAGAAAGGATTTCATCCGCGACAGAAGCCGTTCCATCAGAAATTACTGGTATCGCCTAAACTTTATATCGTGGAGTTGACGCTTTTACGCCAACTACACACAAACACAAAGTCCCCGACCCCCTCCTCCACTTCCACCACCACCACCTCTTCCCACTCCTCCCCTTTCTCATCTCCCCGTTCCCAACGTTATCGTTGTCATCTTCCTTTTGTCCCTCCAAGTCATTAAATGCAACCCTTCTCCCTTTCGTATCATCATTAGCCATTGGTAGTGCCCCTTTTGTGCGCATGTCTTTTTCGTATTGTCCGCATTTGTGCGCATGTCTGACACGTGATAATTACACTATCATGCAGCGTTGCTACATCAACATCGCAGACCAGAAGGGCGCACGAGAGACAATATTGATAGTTTATAATGGCAGCAATTAGAGTGTTTGTGTACAGAAACCTGTCAGATCATTTCATCCCCACCCCCTCCGTGTTGAGAGTCTGTCTGCTGCCGCCATGATATGTAAACAATTAAGCCTCGGATGGATATAGTTTCTTCACTTACAACAGATGTCGCTGTATCGTTCATGACACAGACTGGGCGCCTGTCTATAGGTATATGTATCGCGTAGCCTTGTGTTTCAGTATGGGAACTTCATCAAGCCGGTTGATGTCAATCACCGAGTTTTTAATAGTCTTCATCAAAGTAGGGTTATTCTGTACCAATTTAGCTTGGGTTGCCTCGTTTCTGCTACCCATACAAACATCTTCCCCAAACACATTATAGAAAAATAATTAGTATTTTGTCTGCCAATAACTGGTTAACGACAGTAAACACTAGTTCCTATGATATTACACTCATGGCAAACATGACATGACATGCGCCTTAGACATTCGTCTCAGCAGCCAGTGGGCTCACTGACACATAGGACGCCGTAAACCACTGTGCAGAGTTGCACCCCCTTAGTTGCCAGGATCCGGTAGTCGGTTTCGAATTTCAGATTCGCCTCCATTACTAACCTTTTACTAACCGTGGGTTTTACCAAAGCTTTGAAGGTCCAAGACCTGCGTCACTGTGGGTTTCGTGGCACAGCTGACACGCCGTAATATATTAACAGATTCTGTTTAAAGCGGCGTTAAATCAAACTCACTCACCCACAGAATCCATTGTCACTAGCGTGTACATGACATTGTGGAACAAAACCTCTTCCATGTTATCTGGGCCTGTTTGATAGAATTTGGAGATTTAGAATGCAAGTGCCCGTTGCCTTCGTTATCATAGTCCGTTTGCTGACAATCATTGCTTGTAAAAAAATCTTACGAAAAAATGAACTGTCTGATAGGCACAGGCAGAGCAATCATTTAAACGTAGGGCGCATGTTTGTGCAACGAACCCATCTTTGCTCAAGTGCATGTGAACATCACGTGTTGGGCTCTTCTTATAGCAGAATGAGCTGGATCGTGAGACGATCACAAAAAACAAGTCCTGTGTCTCTTAACTTTGATCCCAAGTAGATATTATATACACAAAGGATCCCTCCCCAGCAGACCTCACTAAGGTTTTAACGTCTTCATATATCTGTTTGTTTGTTTAATTGTTGTTTAACGCCGCACTCAACAATATTCCAGCTGTATGGCGCCGGTCTGTAATTATTTGAGTCTGGACCAGACAATCCAGTGATATACATCATGAACATCGATCCATGCAATTGGGATACGATGACATGCATCAACCAAGTCATCGAGCCTGACGACCCGATCGCCTCTTACGACAAGCTTAGTCGCCTTTTACGACAAGCATGGGTTGCTGAAGACCTGTTCTACCCCGAATCTTCACGGGTCGACGTCTTCGTATAAGAATGTATTGTAGGTATCCCAGTTGTCTTTGGCGCGACAGAACGTTGGTCGGTGGTTCGATCCCCGGTCGCGCGAAACCAAAAGACGATAAAAGATTACCTTTAAGTGGATAAAATCCAGGACTGGTATAAGTGGAGTACTTATGATAAACTGCGGTATGGTACCTCATTTGGCTAGCACAGTCAAACTGGCATAAGCAGCCATACACATACACGTACATGCACGTCTCTGTATAATTGCAATGATCTTGAATGCGACGCAATGCCCAATTTCACCTCACCTCACGAATGGTGATTCGTCCAAGGCGCCCCAGATTCATGTGCAAAGAAGCGTACAAGAAACGTATGGTTGCGGGTTCGAATCCCATAGTTTCCTTGATAATGTTTCTGGCTCTATCAGCATCATGTGTACCCATGGGCTTCACCAAAGGGGTAAGTATAAGCGCCAATGATCTGCATCACTTCAGGCATCCTCCCACCCTGAAGCTGACAGAAGCTATCGTGCCCGTGGGCTTGACCAAAGAGTTAAACGTCTAAGACCAACGGCACTTTGTGTCTTCTTAACATTAAGACGACAAGCCATCATATAACAGAAAGACATTTAAAGGCGGCGTTAACCCAGCTCACTCTCTCACTGGTATACGCCAGACCGAGACATCAATTGATGGTCCTGCAAACCAGTGGTTGATAGCACGAGCAACGATCCAACGTAGGTGTAGATCATCCAGGGCCCCGTTCCGCTCAGCCATCACATCCATACTTTAACACTGGCTTAGAATAGCCGTAGCGCTGAGATCGCTTTGTGGAGCGGTGCCCAGGTCAGATATGTTTTCCACTTAATGACACCCCCTGCACGGAAAGGTGCCTACGGATTGATATGAAGGATTGCAATGAGAGCAATTCTGGAATCATCAGAGTTTTATCTCGGCACCACTAATGTACGCAACTATGGATTAAATTCAAGATCAATACTATTAAAATAGGCCCACAAGCGTGATATTAATCCACGTCGAATAGAAAAATGTTCCTATAAGAAAACAATACATGCTAGATTGAGGGCGGCAATTATCGCGTATAGCACACGCTCAGGCACTTCATGTTCCAATTAGATTAATGATGTTTATTATTCAAACTTAATCACCTCCTATCGTGTTATGACTATTGGAGCAGCAATTGTGATATTATCAGTTTATGAGACCCAATTAAAGTATCACAACCAGAAGCGTGAATCCCGTCTTATCACGAACGGGGGCAAATATAGCAGCAACACGTGTCACGTGTCATCGGGGCAGATAACAGACCACATACAGCGGCCATCTTGCTACTTGAGGTTGTCATCACGTGACTCTCATAGCGAGGCTGGATATCGTCTGCTGATACGAAAATGGCGGAATGCGCGTATGCCATCCTTCAACATGTAATCAGCTTTATGTGATTAAGACGATGTACCCCCGTGGTTTATCCCCGTTATCACACGGGAGGGATAGCAGCCATTCTACAACATGTCAATATGTCGTTAATTGTATAATTTGTACAAGATGGCCGCTGTCGAGAATCCAGAGAGCCAGACCAATTTGTCTCCCCGGAGTCTTTCCCACCTCCATGTGGAGTATTCGTGGCGTTTATTTAGATTCCTGCACTTGTCTTGATGTTTAGTAGGTTTATTGCTTGTTAATTAAGACGAAGGTTGTAAATACCGAATACCGCGAGAAGATCTCTGCAGTTAGGCCATTCGTCAGTCTAATGCCAGCACAAATCAAATCCCTCAACGTGTAAAACGAGAGACTTTATTACTTTGCACATTATCCAGAAAATGTGTAACCGATGTAGCTATGTTTATGTTTCGGGGAGTATTTATACATACTATTTCACTCCTAACTGTCATCAGCTCCCCTTAGCGTTTCAACTTTCCGAAATTCACTGATGTAGATAAGCGAGCTAATGGTAAAGGCGGCATCCTATACTTCTGGCGAGATTGCAAGATAGGCCGTCATAAGTTTCTGAAAAATTATCGTTTAATCGAAAATGTAATCTCAATTTAAATAAACTATCATCTTATTGTGTTCCTTTTAAAATATAAAAAATG